GATGCAGGGCCCTAAGGAACACTGGGTTGGCTTCTTGATGAAAGCAGGTCCCGAGCACGCCCCCCATTCCTCTCCATCCTCATCAGAATTTACAGAAATTCCAAAGCCAGGGTCCAAATTTCAGGTCAGTGGTGATAAATGGGCAGAGTCTCTTGTGTTTATTTGGGTTATGATTTGGTGCCTCTCCTTCTATTGGCCAGATCCTGTTGGGCTTCCAGGGCTGGGGACTCGGCTGTCACCAAGCCACCGAGTCTTCTGACGAGGTGAAGCTACTGCTGAGCTCCAGAAAATATATATTGTGTGGTCAGTTATATGGCAACTCTCCTGGCCCCAACTGACTCTCTTGGATAACAGGGAAGTTCTTTCTGGTTCTGACCATCCAGTACAGCATTACATGGTGAAAAACCCAGTTCTTTGGATTTTTCTAGATGGTTTTGGTAGAGTAGCTTCAGTGATGAATCCAGAACACAGATTTTAAGGCACAAAACCATGGCTATGTGGTCATGGTTGAACCACTGGACCATTTCAATTTCAGTTCTTGACTGTAAATGGGATAATACCTGAGCTTCTTGTGAGGTTTAATTGAGATAATACTTGGGCTGTGCTGGGGTTGTGGCTCAGTGGTAGAGCACATGCCTAGCATGTGTGAGGCACTGGGTTCCATCCCCAGCACCACATTAAAATTAATAAACAAAATAAAGATATTGTGTTTCCATCTACAATTAAGAAAAATATTAAAAAAATTAATTGGGCTAATGTAGTTTCTGTTTTCCTTGCACAAGAAGTCAGCAGAGAGCGTTGAAATCTGTTGTGTGTTCAAATAACCAGTTTTGCACTTTTTTCCTCTTTTCCCTCTCAGAAGGCTGGACAGATGGTTCTCTGAAGGGCAGCCATTACCTGGAGGTATCTGGGCAGATTCCAGAGCTGAAGACTCACAAAGCTGCTTTTTAAATCACTAATCCCGTGGAGCGAATCTGGTCGCAGTGTCCAACTGGGGCATTCCCCTTCCTGATCGGGCTCATTCACTTGAAAGACCTTTGTCTGGCCCTCAGGGCACCTATAAGTCAAGACTTCTGGCTCACAAAACAGTGCTCTTCCTGACACGTGGGTGCTTTCTGTCTTCATGCATCTTGGCATGCTCTGCCAACGTGAAGAGCAGCAACCTTGAACCCTGACTGACGGGCAGGCGGTGGGTGAATGGATGGATGGATGGACAGGTGGATGGATGGACAGGTGGATGGATGGACAGGTGGATGGATGAGTAGACAGAGGAATGAATGGATGGACAGGTAGATGGATGGGTGGATAGAGGAATGGATGGATGGATGGATGAATGGATGGATAGACAGGTGAATGGATGGGTAGATGGATGGATGGATGGATGGACAGGTGGATGGATGGACAGGTAGATGGATGGGTGGTCAGAGGAATGAATGGATGGATGGATGGACAGGTGAATGGATAGGTAGATGGGTGGATGGATGGATGGGCAGGTAGATAGATGGACAGGTAGATGGGTGGGTGGATGGTCGGATGGATGGATGGACAGGTGCATGGATGGATGGAAGAAGGAATTGTGTGTGTGTGTGTGTGTGTGTGTGTGTGTGTGTTCCCACGCTCTTAGCATTTGGGTTAAAATGGAAAGGACTAGAATGGAACTACAGGAAAATCCTCAACTAATGATCCAAAGACTCAAGTTCAAATATCACCTGGTCACCATCTGAAATCATTCAGTTCATCTGTTGGCTTAGTAACTCTCTCCCCCAGTGAGAATACAAGTTTCCTGAGAGCAGGGGCCCTTTTCTCCTGGCCCTTGGCTTATCAAAAGTACCCAGCGCCGTGCCCAGTCCATAGCAAGTGCTCAATAAATATTTGTCTGATGAATTTCTGCCCCAGATCTACCACTCATCAACCACATGACCCTAGAATCTAACCCTGGCTCTCATCCTCTGTTTGGCCCCTCTGGCTCCGAGGGTCCAGTGAAGGATTGGCTGTGGAAATGCTTTCTAAAACACACACCACTGGGAAAAGGGACCCTGCAAAACCCTCTCCAAGAGCCGGCTCCCCTCCCTCTCTCAATCCCTGGCTACCCTTGGAATACCCTCTTCTGTCATTTGCTGTGCCAAGATCTTCATTAGGGTCCTGTTGGGTTGCTAATGGGAGGGGGCTGAGGATCAGGGTGGGAGGGGGGAAGGACGAGGGCTCTCCCAGGCCCGGGTCCTGGATTTGTCTGAGTGGCATTGATAAAGGACCTTCCCAGCTTTTCTTTTTCTTTCTTTCTTTTTTTTTTTTGACTCAACCCACAGGGAGAGATAGTTTGGAGACAGCAGGGTCCACACACGAGGATGGCCTCTGGCCTGGCGGGCCCTTTGACATCTCCCTGGGCCGGGCTCCTGGGCTGGTTGGAGAGGAGACAGACAATGGGGGGAAGTCAGATAGCGGCCAGCGGGGGGCGGGGAGCCACCCATGGAGCTATCACTTAACGGGAATCCCAAACTGGAAGGAAACCTCGGCTGATTCCTTATCACGGGCCCATGTGGAAGCCGATGATGAATTGCTATTTGTTGTCTCCCGGGCAGGACAGACAGAGTTCATCTGGAATGTTCCCTGTCACCGGGAGCTCCCTCTTCGGGGGAGCGGTAGGTGAGAGGGCAGAGGTTCCTAGAGAGGTGACGGTCCCCTCCAGGGTGCACACCGGGCGCATTCCGAGTCCACAGGCCTAGGTGGGCATCGCAGGCTGGGCCCCTCACGAGCTGGGTGACTGGCGCAAGTTCTCTGAGCTCCAGATTCCAAATCTCCAAATCGGGGCAAAGGCGACAATCCTTCACCGCCTTATCTGCAGCCAGTCACCGAGGCCTGATCCCACCCACACCTCCAGCTTCTCCCACACCCTGCTCCGGGCCACCATCTCACGCCTCTGAGCCCGCCGCAGGTCCCTGGTATCAATTCTTGTCAATGAAAAGTGACTGCTTCCGAACGCCAAGAAAACCCTAGTCACGGCTCTCGAGGGTCACTCACCCGCCCACGGACAAGGGGAGCAGCTGAAGCCCCTGATTCAAATGACCGGCGACACTGGCACAGAGCCGGTCCCTGCCCTTCCTTTTTGACATTTACCACCACTTTCTCCAGAGTCGCAGATTTTTAGTCACTCCCCAGAGAGGGCAGGCTTCCTGCCCAAGGGGAGTACCTGGGGACACCCCCTCACCTGCTCCCAGCCCACTCCCTTTGGGGCTCACTCTCCGATCGCCCTCCCCGCATGACGCTCCAATCTGACATCCATTAGCACCCAGGGCATGTCCTTGAGAGCACCCGACAGCAGTTTTAATTCAACAATGACTTGCATAACGTTTAAGCCACATGTACCGGCGTGAACTCTGGGACAGGGCTCCCGTACAGTGGGTGCCTCCGCGATCCTCATCTTGCACGCAGGCCCAGAAAGGGGAAGCCACTTGCCCTCAGTCACACAGCTTCAAAGGGTCAGCTACTTGGATGATTTCTGCAAGGAACCAACTGGCCACGCGAAGCTTTTATCTGAGGCGCCTGCAAATACCCCAGGAAAATCAAATGCTCCCATAATCAAAGAGGGCTACGGTCCTTGCTTTCAAAGGCTCTCGCTCCACTCCCCGGGATGCCTTCATAAGGACACTGCTGTAAATATTGAATCTAAAATGGGCATTGGTTCTTTTTAACTTCTTCCTCCCCTTCCTCTGGACTGGCATTCATTTAATCGACAGAACTCCCTAATTCAAACCTGGTGAGCTTGAATCCGCACCGTGGGACCCAGTCCCAAAGCAGGCCTCGGGCGGAAGAGGAAATCTGGAGAGTGTCGAGGAGTGGGAAGAGAGACAGGAGGGAGCCGGGGCGAAGCACGCAGGCTCCAGATTTCAGTCCAGATCTGGGTTCGAATTCTGCCTTCAGGAACTGGCCGGCACATCTTCCCACCTTCCCGACCTGAGCCTCCGCTTCCCAGCTAATCCCAGCAAAGGCTTGTGTTCCTAGTGTTCAAAGGCTTGTCCTGGGATCAAGAGAGGACGCCCTTCAGGAAAACACAGACAGGACCTCCGTGCAGGTCCCAAGTTG